GCCATTACATTCATATGCCACAACTTGTTTAACTGTTTCCCAGTTGATGGGCATCCCCTCAATTTCCAGTTCTTTACCACCACAAAAAGGGCTGCTATAAATATTTTTGTACATGTGGTTCTTTTCCCCTTTTTTATGATATTTTTGGAATATAGACCTAGTAGTGGTATTGCGGGATCAAAGAGTATGCACAGTTTTATAGCCTTTTGGGAATAGTTCCAGATTGTTTTCCAGAATTGTTGATCAGTTCATAACTCTGTCAGTAATGTATTATTGTTCTAATATGTTCCAAATGTTTCAAATTTCCCACTTCTTCTCCAGTATTTGGAATTTTTCTTTTTCTGTCATATTAACCAATCTGGTAGGTGTGAGGTGATACCTCCGAGTTGTTTTAATTTGCATTTCTCTTATAATTAATGATTTAGAGGATTTTTCATATATTTGTAGATAGCTTTAATTTCTTCATCTGAAAACTGCCTTTTCATATCCTTTGACCATTTATCAATTGAGGAATGACTAGTATTCTTACAAATTTGAATCAGTTCTTTGTTTATTTGAGAAATGAGGCCTTTATCAGAAATACTGGCTATAAAAAAAAAAGAAGTTTCCCAGTTTTCTGCTTTCCTTCTAATCTTGGTTTGCATTAGCTTTATTTGTTTATGGTTTTTTATTAATTAATTTATTTTTAGTTTTCAACAATTACTTCCATAAGCTTTTGCATTTTAGATTTTTTCTTCACTTCCTCCCTCCTTCCCTAATACAGCGTGCAATCTGATATAGGCTCTACATATACATTCCTATTAAACATATTTTCACATTAGTCATGTTGTAAAGAAGAATTAGAACCAATAGGAGGAACCACACACAGGAAAGAAGAAACAAAACAAAACAGAAGGAAAAAAAAAAGAATAAATGGTATGCTTCGATTTGCATTCAAACTCCACAGTTCTTTCTCTGGATGTGGATAGCATTTTCCATCATGAGACCTTTGGAGATATCTTAGACCCTTGCATTGCTCAGAAGAGCTTAGTCTATCAAAATTAGTCGTTGCACAACATGACTGTTACTGTGTACAGTGTTCTCATTCTGCTCGCTTCACTCAGCATCAGTCCATGCAAGTGTTTCAAGGTTTTTCTGAAGTTTGCTTGCTCATCATTTCTTATAGCACAATAGTATTGCAGTACATTCATATACCACAACTTGTTCAGCCATTACCCAATTGATGGGCATCCCCTCAATTTCTAATTCTTTGCCACCACAGAAAGAGGTGCTATCAATATTTTGTACATGTGGGTGTCTTCTCTTTTTTTTTTTTAAAGAAGAGTTCTTGCTTCTGCCAAATATACAAGATAGATAATTTTGAGAGCATTGAGGATGTGGTTAGTAATATACCTGAAAGAGAGGAAGACACCAAACACTTGGGGAAAAAAGTAATATAATGTTGTGACTTTAAAAAAAAGTCTGAGAAATATAAAAAATTTCCTGTCTCATCTGCTTGCTTTCCCATCTCTACAGATATCTTGTGATAATAACTGGTGTACATGTCAAGGGCATCCTTGATCAAGGTGTATGGAGGAAAACAGGCATTTGAGAAATATTATTCTACAGTAGATAATATTTTTACAGTTACACAGTTGATTGAGTACAAATTCTCTCTAAGCTTATTGTTTGAGTATTAAAAGGATTTTGAATAGTAAAATATCTCACCTTAAATAGTAGGAACTTAACATTCTGATGTGAGGAGATAATATGCAAGGACTATAGTGGTTAGGGAGGAATACTTTGGTCCTGAGAATTACCAGGAATGTGAGTGGGACTTTAGGGCAGTATGTTGATATACTCCATCCAAGAACAATGGCAGAGTCGATTTGATCATAGTTCACAGTTTCATATGTTGGTGGGGAAAAGAAATAGGTTGTTAGCATGGGAAAAGTGGCACTGAGGCAAAGGCCAGAGATTTGGGAGTAAAGAGAGGTGTGGTAAGGGCTTTTCTTGAAATAGTAGTCTGGGAGAGGCAGTTACAGATCAGGGGAGTGGAACGTATGTTGTATTATATGGTTATGTCTATATAGATGTTGTTTTTAATTAGGTGTGTACATATTGTATCCTTCTAGTAGAATGTAATACAGCTTCTTGAGAAGCTTGACTGATTCATTTTTGACCTTATATCCCTGAGTACCTGGCAGAGTATTTGATACATAATAACTCTTTAATAAAGGCTTGTTGTTGTGAATTTATTAGATCTTTGGATAATGAGTCATCCTGACACAAATTTGATTCATAAACAAAAATGAATACATCATTTGAAGTGATGCAGATAATACCAATAATATTGGGACTGAGGAACAAATATCAATATAATAGCTGATGTTTGTTTACCACTCATTTTTGCATTGTCTCTTTTGTGGTTTTTTTTAGGGAAGTGGACTTTCAGCTATTGGCCCAAAGGACAAAATGGCTAACATCTTATAGTCATCCTGCGACGGGAATTAAATTTTAAATATTACTTTTATCAGTTTGAAAATGTTATTGTAATAATGATTGATCTTAAAAACACAATAGGTGTCAATAAAGCTAATTTTTAAATGTAATTTATTATAAATACAAAGTGCTTTTCACACTTAATATTTTGTCAAAAATGGAAGAAGGATTTTTTTTTTTTGTAGATTTGAATTATTATGGTTACCAAAGTAGGCGGCTCATTTAGGTAGTGTTGGGCCTGGAGTCAGCAAGGCTTGAGTTTAAATCTGGCCTCGGACACTTATTAGCTGTGTGACCCTGAGCAAGTCACTTAGCTTCTGTTTGTCTCAGTTTCTCATTGGTGCAATGGGGATAAATAATAGCACTCACTTCCCAGGGTTGTTGTAAGGATCAAATGAGATGAAAATTGTAAAGCACATAGTAAGTGCTGTATCAATGTCAGCTATTATTATCGTTATTAGTAAAGTATATAGTTGATGAAGTGCCTTGCTCACAACCAATCTTTTGAAATATCTAATACAGGCACTGAGGCTCAGAGAAGTGGCATCACTTGTGCATGGTCTCACCGCTTCTCAGTGGCAGAATAGGGGCTTAATCCCAGGGCTGAAGATTCCACATCCAGTTTTCTTTTCATTTGATTTTACTGCTTTTTTTAGGGTAGCCTTGCTGGAAGCATTGTCCACAGACCTCTGTCAGTTCCCACAACCCTTTCCATGATGTCAAAACTATATTCATAATAACACTGTGCTATTAGTAGCTTATTTAAATATTTCTCCTTTTTCCAACTGTGTATTTGTGTGAGACCATGTTTTCTTCATGCAATTCAAATAAAATATCACAATAGATTGTATGTAGGAGCAGATATGAGAATCTACTTGTCTTCTATTAAGCTAGACAAATTTGCAAAAATACGTAAAACACTGCTACTTTTTTTTTTTTGGTGAGGGCAATTGGGGTTAAGTGACAACTAGTGAGTGTTAGGTGTCTGAAGCCGTGTTTGAACTCAGGTCCTCTTGACTCCAGGGCTGGCACTCTATCCACTGCGCCACCTAGCTGCCCAAAATAATGCTACTCTTGCCACTAAATTTTGTCTCAGAAAATAGTTATGTCTTCATAAAAAAATGTTATTTATGTTAATGTGTAAAGGATTTATTGTTATTTTAGCATGATTAATAAATTAAAAAAACACTAAATTTAATGTCAATATGGTAAGTATTGATAGATATAAATGATGCAATTAAAAGCTCTTTGGGGGTAGTTACTAATTTTCAAAAATGTGAAAGGATCCTGAGACCAAAAAGGTTAAGAACAGCTGGTTTAGAGCATCATTTGCTTCTCTGTAACATAATTGTCTGAATTATAATGGATGGCTTTGTCAGTTGTTCATGATTACCTCCCACAAACTATTACGACTTTAAATGTGCCTTCTCATTCCCTGCTCTCCTGCTCTCCGTGATCCTCACCAACGTCATCCACTTTCTCTAAGATTTTAGTTTTCTTCATTTTTCTTTCTCACCTAAATGCTTTGTTTTGGTTGATACCAGCCTTGTACCAGTTTTTTGGGGGAGGCAGAACTGCCAGATGTGATCGTGACCTTTCAAGGCCAGATGGTTCTATGGAGTACGAAGGAATAAAAGATTTTTAGTTTAGAAGAAATTGCTTTTTTCTGAGTAGTTTGCTTGTGTATTGACAACTGTGGAATCCTATAATTAGAAGGAAACTCACCTCATCTAGTGTAGCCATTACCTGAGCAGGAAGTCCTTCTACGGTATCTCCCACAAGTAGTATGTCACTTTTGCAGAGGTCTTCTTTATTGGCCAGAGTTCTGACCTCAGGTCATAGGATCATAGATCTAGTAGATACCTCAGTTGGCCATTTGGTCTGATTCCTTCATTTTTACAAAGAAGGAAACATGCCCAAGAAAGTTAAGTGACTTGCCCAAGGTCACACAGGTACTAAGGGTTGGGTGAGGGGGCATATGGTGGAGGAGGTGTGGTCGAATTTGAAGTCTGATCCTTTGACACCAGAGGTAGTACTCTTTCTGCTGTACCATACTTCACCTTCCTGAGTCTGCCTGTCATCGGTGTGACAACATTTCGCCCCATCCCTCATGACTTTATATCGGTGTAGGATGTGATAGATAATGGAAGAAGGTAATGTCTTGCTCACATCCTGAAATTAGACTGACACTGTCATGGCTTATACCTGTTTAAAGAAAGTGTTTAGACTAAGATTGACATTGTATGAAGGCAGAGATATTTTACAGGCAATATCTGATCTCACATCAATCCTGGGACCCTTTTCCTGTTAGACCTGTGGCTTAATGTCAGTTACAACCTGTTAGCTAGCAGGTCTGGTAAGTGATACTTCATACATGGAATGTGGCAGAGGGATAGGGATTGGACTCCAATGAATTAATGTACCAGAGTGAAAGACATCTGATGCCTTGTTTTCTTTCTCTAGCAATGTCATAGCTGGTACTTGATGCCTAATGTTGTTATCTTTATGTTTTTTCTCAGGTACACGAACGTACAGAGGAAATGGATTTTCTCTTGTTGGTTGTCCGCAAACTTTTAAGGACAAACTCACGTTTTGTGAAGGTAAGCATGACTTTTCTGAATATAATATAATGCTCAAGGTCAGATTCTATCATTGTCTTTCCCTTTTTATTTTACCTGAGTTTAAATTGAAAATGGAGACTTATCAAACTCGATAACATGTAAAGTATCCTAGTTCTTATGAGGAAGCAAGCTAGAGGGTATTTTCCTGTGACTATGGTAATGTGTTTTGAGTACTTTTAAAATAAAATTGCATTAATGTCTAAAATTGGCTTCAGGCTATAGAAAAATCTAATGATAGTTGACTGTAATGAAATGCTTGAGATTAAAGACTTGTCTTTGCTGGACTGAATGCTTTAACGTAAAGGCACAGGAATGAATTTAAAGGTTAGCATTAAGTATTAAATGACAGCAAACTGTAATTAAATGCAAATAACTGTAAATGTGGTACTATTGAAGAGACTTTATACTACCTATTAGACTTATTTTATACGTTCCCATTTCATGGACATTGTCCTCTAGTCAAATTGACTTAGTCCTAGCTTGTCCTTGAAGTCTTTGTTCCATCTTGACAACTTTGTACATGTCCCCCCATACCTGGAATATATTCCCTTCTCACTTCTACCTCTTAAAATCTTTGACTTCCTTGAAGTCATCTCTCAGGTGTTACTTCCTACATAAAGTCTTTCCCATTTCCTGTTCATTTGCTCCTCAAATGACCTAATATTCATGTATCTATTAGAGGCATGCTGTTATCCCCCCAGTAGAAATTTATGTTCCCTGAGGACTGAGAACTACCATGTTTTGTTTCTCCTCTTTGTGCCTTGTCCATGGGAGATGCTTAAGCATCCAACAAATGTTTATAATGGGGATATTTTAATATGATTTCTAGTTCACTTATTTGGACTAGCTGGGGGGGGGAACAAGCATTTTTTAAGGGCCTACTGTGTGTCAGGTACTGTGCTAAATGCTTTAAGAATATTATCTTACTTGATTAAATGAGAACTAAGTTAAATTAGTGACCACTCTGAATTATATAGAACACTTCAAAAGACATGAAAGTATATAGTTGCTCATTTAGGGGAACTTACTGTATTAGAACCTTCTCTTGCAGAGATCTGTAGGGGAAAACATTTTGGAATGATTGGCAATTGGCATTTCAGTACGTAGACTCATGCTTCTAAGTGATTTAGGAATGTTTGAAAATTATTATTTTAACTAACTTAGAATTTCTCATTTGAAATATTCTAGGGGTGAGGAGCCTATAGCCTTGAGGCCATATGTGGCCTTCTAGGTCCTCAAGTGCAGCTCTTTGACTTAATCCAAACTAATAATCCCCCTAATAAAAGGATTTGTTCTGTGGAACTTGGACTCAATTAAAAGGCTGCACTCAAGGGCCTAGAAGGCCACATGTGGCCTCAAGGCTGCAGGTTTCCCTCCCCTGGATGATACTATTCATTTAGCATATGATTTTTTTTTTCATAAAATAAGGCAACTGTGTGTTACAATGGTCACAAACTCTGAAATAATGGGATCCAAATTACTGAAGCTTATTTATAATGTCCTAAAGTAATAATAATAAACATTTATTTAGTCTTTCAAGATCTACAAAATCCGTTTCTCACAATAATCCTACGAGGTTGGAGAGCACAAGTTTCATCGAAACCTCCTTATTTGACAGAGAAGAAAATAAAGGGTCAGAGTGGTTAAGGACCTTGACCACAATTCTGGTGAACATCAGAATGAACAGTCAACTTGACCTCTGCCTTATACACAAGAGAACCAATTTTGTTACCTTTGGCTATATTATGAAATAATTGGAATACATATTAAGGGAATTAGAATTTTGAAATATGAATTTATGGGTGTTAGCTTTTTAACCACTTTTCTTTTGTACTTTTACCTTAAAGATAATGATAAAGTGCAGCTATTATACTATAAGGCTTTTGTTCAGTTTTTGACCATCTTTAGAATGTCATTTTATAAGGATTTAATTCTTTTAAGCTTTGCAAATGTGTTTGAGATTATTTTAATTAATATAGTTGAAATGTATAATTGGTGTTCTCAAATCTTTGCATGGTGGCATTGAATTATCCATTAGGTCTACGCGCAGGGGTAAAGAAGAGAAATGTCAATTTCATCAGAAAAAAAAATTTAAATATTTATTTGTAGTCATGACTCAAAACATTGAATTTAATTGTTGGGAAAGTTTTGTTGCATTTTAAAATTGTTTTTCTGAAAATGTTTTGTGATTAAAGACTATAAAGTTTATCAGTTAGCTTAAATGGCACATAACTCAAATTTATAGGAAAAAGATTAATTTCTTTATGGCTTGGCAACATACCATAGGTAAATAGAATCAGCTAACAAATTCTAAAGTATGTCTGTGGACATACATAAATGGCTTCCCTTTCTGATAAATACAAAATTATTCAATTTGTTATGCAATACCAAAATACTTTGAAAACTAGCATAAAATATTTTATAAACTGTTCTTGTGATATGTTCTAAAATATTAAAAAGAAGTCAAGAAGTAAAAAGTAGGTGTTTTGATTAATTTTAATGATTGGTTTTTACTATGCCTTTTTAAAATAGGTAATTCTGATGTCAGCTACTATCAGTTGTAGAGAATTTGCTGACTATTTTGCTGTTCCAGTTCAGAACAAAATGAATCCTGCTTATGTGTTTGAAGTGGAAGGCAAGCCTCACACAATTGAAGAATATTACCTTAATGATTTTGTACATGTTAATCTTATGAAGGTATGTTGGAAAATGTAGTTTTTACTGTTAATTATTAGTCTGATGTCATATATATATCTGAACTAGGGTATGACAGCAAACTTATAGAGAGGCAGATACTTAGTGAGGAAGGCCCTCTGACTTATAATAATAATAATAATAATAATAATAATAATAATAATTATTATTATTATTATTATTTTAGTTTTAGGCAATTAGGGTTAAGTGACCTGCCCAGGGACACACAGCTAGTAAGTCAAGTTGGTTGAGGCTGGATTTGAACTCAGTTCCTCCTGACTTCAGGGCTGGTGCTCTATCCACTGCGCCACCTAGCTGCCGCCCCCCCCCCCCGATTTATTATTAACAAAAACTGTTGAGTAGTAGGTATTATGCATGTGCTCTCATGGTGTGTTTATATATCAGCGTGCTTACGGAATCCACTAATTGGTTCCACGCCCATTAGCATTGCCAGTTAGCTGGTATTTCTTGATGTCTAGTTTTGTGCCTTTCAGACATTTCTGACTATCTTCCGTTGGCATTTCTTTTCTTTAATACATCCCAGAATTCATGAAGACTGACTTTATACTAATGAATGAATGAATTCTGAAAAATAACATTTTATTTGATTGAACCAGCAGTTTAAGGAAGTAGGGAAGCATTTTTTTAAAACCAGCTTTAATTTCCAGTAGTGATATTGATATGGAATGGGCATAGCATTGTGGGCATAATGATAATGTAATATTCTAAAAGATCATAGTTGATTTTACTAGAAGAATTTCTGCCTCATGTAAAAATAAAGACTTTTATCTGAGTACCACAGTAAACTGATCATATTTGAATTGACGTAGGTCACAAATTGAGACTTACAAATTCTCCAACCTAATTATCTTTGTAAGGTCAGTAATGCCATTAAAATAAACTAGTGATTATAAATAGGAATTTACCATTTATAGATAATTTGCTCCATTATTTTTAACAACTGAGATGGTTTTTGATGCATGCTATAATGAAATCCATTTTTATGTGCATTGAACATTCATTGTTTACCTTTTATGTTCGAGACATCCTCCTTTTTAAATTAAAATTTAATTTTTATGAAATTAAACAACAAATAAAACCAGCATTTCCATATATAAAATATAATAGAAAAAGAGAACTGTATATAAATATAAAATCAAGAATTTCAAGGAGATCAAAGAAAGTAGAAAAAAATGCAGAAGTAGAAAAATGTTTATGATAGTTCTTTTTGTTACATCAAAGAGCTGGAAACTAAGTGGGGAGGGATGCCCATCAATTGGGAAAGGACTGAACAGAAAAGGGTTTAATTTGAGATCTGTCATTACTATGCCTCTTTTTCCAGTTTATTTTTTATGATTTCCCTTGAAATTCTCAACCTAATATTTTTGCAGATGAATTTTGTTATTTTCTTTCTTGCTCTCTAAAGTACTCCTTTGTTAGTTTGATTGGTGTTGCACTGAATAAGTAAATTAATTTAGGTGATATTGTCACTTTTATTATTGGCTCAGACTATCCAGTGGCAGTTACTATTTTACAATTGTGTATTTTTTCAGCTGTATTCATATGATTCCTGTCTGTGTCAGCTAAGATGAGCTCCCAGTGTTTTTATTCTTTTTGTTATTATTTTAGATGGAATATCTTCATGTTAAGTTTTCTTGGTAATGTAAATAGAAGTGTTACAATGATTCATGTGGATTTATTTTATATCCTGCAACTTTGAAATTAGTATTTCAGTTAAATTTTAATTTACTTTTTTGGGTTCCCTTGATGATTATATTATCTGGAAAATGAGATAGTTTTGTTTCTTCCTTGTCTTTTACTTATTCTTTCAATTTCTGGTTTTTTTTTGTCAACTAGTTAGCATTTCTAGCACTTTATCAAATTGATAATGAACGTCCTTGCTTTTATCCCCGATTGTACTGTAAAGTCCTCTATCTGGCCTTTATCCATTGCATGCAATATTGGTGCCTTGCTATATGTAGATACTATTTATCACATTAAACAAAGATACAATTATTCCTGTGCCTTTTGGAGTTGTTTTTTTTTTAAACAGAAATATTATTTGTCAAAAGTCTTTTCAGCCCATACTTAGATAATCATGTGGTTTTGATTTTTTTTTTAATATTGGTGTAGTCTATTCTATGAATAGTTTTCCTTATATTGAGATAATATTCACAGTGCCTGGCATATGTTAGGTGCTATATAAATGCTTATTTCCTTCCCTTCCTCATTCCTGAGATTGAACCAATCCTACAACAAATAAATCCAGCCTCATCATAATGTTAAGTATTTATAATATATTGTTGTAGATTTTTTGGTTAATATTGTATTCAGATTTTTGCATTGATATTAGTGATGTTTCTTTGTAGGTATCTTTAATTTCTCCCTTTTTTAGAAAATTAGGACCATATTTACATCCTTGGAGAATTTATAAGATACTCTTTCGTATTTTTGGAAATAATTTATGTAATATTGAAGTTAATTTTCTTTGAAAATTTGCTAGGATTCACTTGTAAACCCATCCCATCTTAGGTTTTTTCTTTTAGGAGTTCCTTTGTAGTATGTTGAATTTCTTTTTCTGATACTGATTATTTAAAAAGTCTATTTTTAGTTTTGTTAATCTGTGTATTTTATATTTTTAAAAATATTTTTATTTTTCTCCTAACTTGTCAGTTTCATTGGCATATAATTGGGCAAAGTAGTTTCCAATAGTTTCTTTTATTTCGTATTCAGTTATTTTGGATTTCCTTTTCTCAGTTTTGATGCAAATAATTTTCTTCTCTCTTTTAAAAATCAAACTAACTGTTATCTGTTTTATTCATTTTCTTTAAAAAATGTTTCATTTTATTTATCAATTTTTTTTCTTTATGTTTCATTAATCCCTTCTTTTCCCTAGTTTCTAGTTTGATAATTAGTTAGGGTTTTTGGTTTATTGCTTTTCTAATTTTTGAAATTGCTTGCCTAATTAATTGATCCATTTTTTTCTTCCCCTTTGTTAATGAAAGTTTTTAAAGAGAGACATTTTCCTCAAAGGATTGCTTTACCCACATCCCCACAGTTTTGGGTTTTTTTGTTCTTTGGTTGAAATTATGTATTGTTTGTGTACCACAGTAAAATTTTTTTTCCTTGATCCAACAGTTTTTTTAGATTCAATATTTAGTCTTCAATTGCTATATTTAATTCTTTTGATAGAATAAAATTTTTATTGTCATTGTTAAGGATGTGTTTAATAATTCTGCTGTTCTGTATTTATTTATGAAGATATTATGACCCAAAATATGGCCCCTTTTTGTAAAGTTACTATGAATAACCAAAAAATATGTAATCTTTTTTTGATCCCATTGAGTAATTGCCAAATAGCTAGCATATCTAACTCATCTTTTTTAAAAAATAATTTACTTAATATTCATTTAAAATTTTTTTTGAGTTTAAATTCTTTCCCTCCCTTCAACTTTCCCCCCACCCATTGAGAAGACAAGTAGTATGATACCAGTTATAAATATATCCATATTAGCCATGTTATACTCCCCCCCCAAAAAAAAAGCAAGATAAATAAATTAAGTGGAAAAATTTATGTTTCAGTTGTACTCAGACTCCCATCAGATTTCTTTCTAGAGGTGGATAGCATTTTTTCATCATGAGTATTGTGGAATTTCCTTGGATTATTGTATTGATCAGAGAGTAGCTAAGCCTTTCACAGTTGATCATTGTTATGATATTGCTGTTGTAATATACAGTGGTCTCCTGTTTCTGCTCACTTCACTTTGTATCTGTTTATATAAGTCTTCCCAGTTTTTTCTGAAACCATCCCACTAGTCATTTCTTATAGTACTATAGTATTCCATCACAATTATATACCACAACTTGTTCAGCTGTTTCCCAGTGGACAGGTGTTTCCTCAATTTCCAATTTTTTGCCACCACAAAAAGCTGCTATAGATATTTTTGTACATGTGCATCTTTTTCCTTTTGCTTTGATCGCTTTGAGATACACACCTGGTAGTGGTACTGTTGGGTCAAAGGGTATGTGCAGTTTAGTAGGCATTTGGGGATAGTTCTAAATTGTTCTCCAGAATGGTACGACTAGTTCACAAATCTACCAGCAGTCTAGCATTTGTCATTTTCCTTTTCTGTTATGTTATCCAATATGATAGTATGAGGAGGTACCCTAGAATTATTTTAATTTGCATTTGTCTAATCAGTAATGATGGAGAGCATTTTTTATATGACTATAATAGAATAGCTTTGATTTCTTCTGAAAATTTACCTGAATTTTTTAGAAAAAGTTTCTGAAAGTTTATATATTTTAACCATTTATCAATTGGTGAATGGCTCTTATTTTTATAAATTTGGCTCAGTTCTCTATATATCTGAGAGATGGGGCATTTATTAGGGACACTTGTAAAAGATTCCCCCCAGTTCCTCCATTCCTTCTAATTTTGGCTGCATTAGTTTTGTTTGTGCAAAACCTTTTAAATTTTATGTAATCGAAATTATCCATTATACTTCCTATGATCTTCTCTACCTCTTCTTCAATCATAAACTGTAGATCTGACAAGTAAAGTTTTCCATGCTCTACTAATTTGCTTATGATATTACCTTTTATGTCTAAATCATGCACATATTTTGACTTTATCTTGGTTTATAGTATGAGATGTTGGTCTGTATCTAGTTTTCTGACAATCTGCTTTCCAATTTCCCCAGCAATTTTTGTCAGGTAGTGAGTTCTTGTCCTAAAAGCTTTGCATCTTTGCGTTTATCAAACATTAGATTATGATGGTCATTTACTACTGTGTATTTTAATCTCTTCCCTTGTAATTTCACTTTGCACTCAGAGTCCATCAGTTCTTAGTCTGGAAGTAAATAGCTTTTTTCATAATGAGTCTTTTTAAATTGTTGTGCATCATTATATTGATCAGAGTTGCTAAGTCTTTCATGATTGATTATTGTCATAGTATAGCTGTTACTGGGTACATTGTTCTTCTAGATCTATTCTTTTCACTT